AAATGGTATAAAAATGCACTAAATTTTGTCTATAATATGCTATGTGTCTTGCAAGTTTCAAATAAATTAGTATATCAGAGGTTTGCTTAGCAAATAATTCAATGTGCAATTTAAAATTATTGCTTAAATCTGTAGAACAGAACCAATAATATTAGTTGTATATGTACTTAACTGTATTGTGTTAGTTATATAGCTGAACTTGAAAATAAAGATTCACAAGTGAAAAATAAAAAAAAATTTATTTACAATTTTATGCAAGCAGTCAGCATAACAACACAACACCTAAGTTATAACATACAAATAAGTTAAAACCAGCTGATCTCTTTTTATCAATAAATTATTCAAACTTTCTTGTAAAAATTGAAGCAGAAAGAAATCTCATTAAGCATATTGCCATACTAAGAAATCTCATCAATTCTTATTTATTAACAGGTGTGAAAATTTCAAAACTGCTTCTATATTAATTGGGTCTCATCAGAAACAATAAGATGAGACTATGTGACCTTAATATTTAAATTTTGATACTGCAAGTTCAAGTTTCTATTCGTTAAATTTCAACCCATTTTGTCTGGCAATTACAAACACCGTTATTAACTTTTTACAACAGCCAATTAATAGTTTCAAAATGTATTACGATACTGCCATAATATGGATAAATATCGGGCAAACACTTGAGAAGACCGTCCATTACCATTTAAAACACTTCAGGTGCACAAATGATATTAAATTTTATACGATGGCTATTATTATTTATGAAGCATATAAAGATACATTCAACAGCAAATGGATGTCAGCATCACCAGTATATGTAAAAACATTTATTGATGTTGTGTAAAGGAAGTGATTATCAGTTAATGTTTCAAATATAGAAAATAATAAAAATGTTTTACCTATGCACCAGTATCCAATTTGAAAGTATCTGGTCACTACATGCAACACAATTTTGTTGTAATTTTTCCAAGCTAAAATCGTGATCTTCTAAGTTACTCGCTATCAGGCTTGTTTAATTTAAGCAAAGAAGAAAATATCAAAATGATTTGTCCAGAAAGCCACCAGTCTTAATTATGGGACACCGGTAATTTCAAAATGCACATGAAAATCACAGGTTTGTGAAATGAGTGCTCCTAATCAGAGACACCCTTTATTCAGCCAATTCCCAGAATAATAGTAGGAGTTATTACAAACCTGTTATTTTGTCGCCATGCTGAAACACATAACTGTTATCTTGATAAAGTAATTTATCATATGGTAACATGAAAATTATACTCAAATGATATAAGTAATGGCCACTTAAAGACACAACATAGACCCTTTTTTACACAACAACAAATTAAAGACAAGGAAATGAATTTTTCAATATTTTTAAGTGTAAAACAGTCAGTACATGCCCATATAAAAAATATAAATTATAATGACCCATTCTCAGTATAAAAGCAGCAGTTACCATAAACTTGTCATCTTGTAAGCATGCTGAAACACAACTTTTATCATGAGAAAGCATTTTACAGTATGTTAACACCAAATGATAACCACTTACTAAACATTAAGTGGTAGCCATTTAAATACAACCCAGATACCATTTTATGCAGCAAACACTCAACAGCACGAAAATGAATTTTTCAATATTATCATCTTTCAAGTGCTCTGAATATAAAACAGTCAGTGCATGTCCATATGAACAAAATTATAATGACCCATTCCCAGTATAATAGCAGCAGCTATTATAAACATACAATTTTCTAATCATGCTGGAAACATATAACTGTTACCTCGATAAAACATTTTACCATATGTTAACACAAAAATTATATCAAAATGATAAGAGTAGTGGCCACTTAAAACATAACCCAGACACATTTTTATGCGATGACAAATTAAAGGCAAGGAAATTCCTTCTTCAATATTTCAAGTCATAGAGTGGATATATATATAAATATATTTATATACGTTTGGTGTGGCCGATTGCAACCAAAATACGAGGTGCACATATACATGTTATAGCAGTCCTATATACAAAATTTCAACGTTCTGAGGCTACTCGTTTTTGAGTTATGTGAGATATGTACGTACGCACGAACGTACGTACATACGTTCGTACAGAAGCCACGAAAAATTCTCTTCAGAATTAATTTTTAGTTTAAGTTTTTTTAAGCAGTTTTATAATTTTTTTGAAGGAAAAGAGTATTTTATTCTGTCCTTACGTACAGATATGGTGCAAAAACATCGTTAAATTGCATTCGATAGCGGTCAAAATGGATATTTTCGGTGAAATATGCTGCCTGAAACTTTTCGCGATTACAATACTTCCTTTTTACTTCGTACAAGGAAGTAAAAAGGACATGCCTTCTTCAATATTTCAAGTCATCTAAATATAAAACAGTCAGTATATGTTCATATCAACAAAATTATAATGACCCATTACCAGTATAACAGTGGCAGTTATTATATACATATCATTCGGTAAGCATGCTGAAACATCACTTTTATCAGGAGAAAGCATTTTACCATATGTCAACACCAAACTTATACCCAAATGATAAAAGTAGTGGCCTGCGCTAAAACACAAACCGAGACACCTTTTTTACGCAATGACAATTTAAAGGCAAGGAAATGCCTTCTTCAATATTTCAAGTCATCTGAATGTTAAACAGTCAGTATCTGTCCATATCAACAAAAGTATAATGACCCATTACCAGTATAACAGTGGCAGTTATTATATACATATCATTTTGTACCCATGCTGAAACATATCACTTTTATCAGGAGAAAGCATTTTACCATATGTTAACACCAAACTTATATCCAAATGATAAAAGTAGTGGCGCACTAAAAAACACAAACCGAGACACTTTTTTACGCGATGAGAAATATTAAAAAAGGACATGCCTTCTTCAATATTTCAAGTCATCTGAATGTAAAACAGTCAATATCTGTCCATATCAACAAAAGTATAATGACCCATTACCAGTATAACAGTGGCAGTTATATATACATAACATTTTGTAAGCATTTTGAAAAACATATAACTGTTACTTTGATAAAGTATTTTATCATGTTAACACCAAAATTATACCCAAATGATAAAAGTAGTGGCCACATAAAAACATAACGCAGACACTTTTTTACACAACAAATTAAGGGCAAGGAAATGAATTTTTCAATATTTCAAGTCAATTATAATGATAAAGAATCTTACCATATGTTAACACTAATTTGATATCCACATTAATAATAAGGACCACTTAAAATACAACCCAGACACTTATTTACATAGATGCATAGAAATGAATTTTTCGTTACTATTACTTTTCAAGTGATCTCAAGGTTAAACAGGTTAAACTGGTAAAAAGTAAGTAAATTTTAGCTCTTCAATGCAATACCTTTGCCATTTCGAGCAACGAATAGCTAGTATGTGTTAATGCAAAATGTGTTTCCTTAGTTAGTCCACCACTAGAACAGCCTAAAAGTTTCCACTGATCTAACCACTCAAGTAACTTATTTAAATAAATATATCTAACATCATCATTTTGCACAGTTAACGGCTTTTGATACTCATTCATCTTATGGTGTCCTTTAAAGATACTTTTGACATTGACTATTGACCACCATGTAGATATAATTTTAATAAATTCAGCTGTTGTTTCGTAATTTAAAATACTATTTTCTTTACCAATAACCATTATTGCCTCTGCAAGACGACTGTCAAATATTTGTAATGCTAGCTTGACATTTTGTCTTTCCAAATTGGTTGGATACAGAGCTTTCAGAGTCAAACCATAACTATATTTTACAATTCTGCCTGCCTCTAATGAATGGAGACTTTTTATGCATGCAAATGCCGCTGTTTCGACCTTGGAAAAATTTTCAAAATTTGGATAAAATAAACATTGCCCAGAAGTTTTTTGATTTATCCAGTTGTTCCTGACACACTTCAAGATGTGCACTGAGTCAATAACAAAAAATAGTGGCCGAGATAAGTCTGCAGGGTTTTTATACACAATACTAATTTTTGGAGGCATACAAAATAATGACATGGCTTTTTTATTTATTGAATTATTGTCAGAGACAACTGCCACAATTCTATAACCTATATTTTCTAAACCAATTATAATTTTCTTAAGATATTGATACAGATCCTCAGCATTTAATGATTTAACTGGTAATATATGTGCCACATCCTTGAAAGGTGATAATAAGCTACGTATCATAAAAACATAAGCACTTGTAGCAGCTTTTTCACAGTTGTAGGCCATGCCACACAAATTTCCTCCTTTAAAATCGAAACATGAATTTAAATGCACTTCATCCATCATAATAATTACAGTTTTATCATTTTCTTCTAAATCCTTGCATCTTTGTTTAACATATCCTAAAAAGTCATCATTAAATTGCTCAGTAATAGGATTAAGAGAAAACGTTGAACAAATTCTACGAATAGTACGTGGATGGGGAATAGAAATGTAACCTGAATGTCGTAAAAACTTGTATGCATGCGGTGGTGAGATCGAGTTTAACAAACTGCAAAAAAAATAAGTAAATCTGGAGTATATCGATACTTCTCTTTCTTTACATTTAGTTTATTTACTTGCTCTGAAAGGAAGTTCAGTTCAGTTTCTTTTTCAGGTAACACTCTTTTCAATTCTGAAAGCATATCATCCACAATTTGTATAGAATTCTTAATATATTCTTCATTTTGTAAGTTATGAGACAGACTTTCAACTTCCTTTAGTACTTCTAGAAACATATTTACATTACTAATTTTTAGAGGGAAAACAAATTTACCAATAGATTTTATAGCGATGTTTTTAATATAAACACATACTGTTAAATCCTCATTTATTACTACCGATTTCTGAATTTCTGGAGCTGGGTCACTTAAAATATCAAGTAACATAGTTGAATTTTCAGTATGTACAGTTGTCCAAAATGTTTCTAAAATCTGATGTTCTAGGCAATTATTGAATTCAATTAAACTTTCAAATGATCGTTCATTATCATACCGTTCTTTCATTTTCAAACTTTCTTCTATCGCTTTCTCCAGGTATTTCTCTTCTAAACGAGCTTTCTTCTTTTCTGGTGACATTCTCGATACAGAATTTGATGACATGTAGGATGGGCCATCAGGGAACTGAGAAGGTATGCATCCTTTTTTCAAACGTGGCCTAGAAATTGGGGCTTTAATTAACTTCGCTGATTTCTCATCATACATTTCGATTTCTCGTATTATTTCATCTGATCGAAAATGTAATTCACATACCTATAAAAGAAAATATTCAAAAATCAACTTGTTGTGAGTACAAAAGTTAGATGCATGTTAATATTTAGTAACAGAAGTCAATAAGCCCTATGATTTAAATAAATAATTTGATACATAAATACGAATTAAAAAACCAGTAATATCATTTCAATTACGTGTATAATTTAAGTAATTTGTAAAATCTGGAATGCTCATCATAATGATTACAGCTTTATTTACATTTAAAGAAAATTATATATTTGAGATAATTGTTTACAACAAACACTGGTTACCAAATACAAATAATTACCTTAAATACATCATACCAAACTTTCATATATCATTACAAAAATTTTAAAATGAAACCTATTATGATTACTTAGTAGTTCCTTGTCATATATAAATTATGATAAATTTGGAATAACTACAGAATCTGCCTGCACAGTATACTAGAAAGCATTTACAAATTATTGGCATTTATGTAACTACTAAATTTAGAATTATTCCTGTTATATGGAACTTTATTTCATTCATAAAACTTTGAAGGAAAATATTTTTTTGAAATGATTAAAACAGGCAAGATTAAAATCTTTCAAACATAAAACTTCTTACCCACAGATCAAAATCTAATATCGTAAGCATAAACATCACATACCTATCAATAAAAGTAATAAAAAAATGTAAAGATACAAAACATAAAAAATGCAGTAAAATTGAACTTACTCTGGTATGTTTAGTAGGTTGAAAGCCATCTTTTCTTCGTAGACTCCTTATCCATTTCATCCGGAGTTCAGTCTCATTTGGAAACTTGAATACAGCCACTTTTGGTCCGTTTTTATAATTACCACGACATGTGGCTACAGCACATTTATGAGGCATCGTATGAAATTATAAAAGCACGAGACAATATATAAAAAAAGCACGAGACAATATAAAAAACTCTGTCGCTAACGCAAATAACCGCTCCACGTTCGTCGCTCTTGGCTCAACTACGGGGCTTTGATGATTTTGTTTGAAGGAGCGAGGTGAGTCAGAGACGACTACCTGTGACGTCAGAGCTTCCCCTCGCTTCAGTGTCCCGGCTTCCTTCTA